TTGTTGTTCCAAGGTTGCTCCTTGATGATTGTGTATGCCTCTAGTGTTTACTAGAGAGGAGAACTTGTTGTACCCACTTGATTCTTGGTGATTAGTGGAAGTTTGGGAGCCGTTGTTGAGCGGCCGTGGTTTTCTCCCCGATTTGGGGTTTCCACGTAAATCGTGTGTCATCTACTTTATTATCGCTGCCATTTATTTGTGTGTGTGCTGCTGATTTTTCAGAGTTTATTGTGCTTGTTATTCATCTCATTAATTTGGGGAAAAGATTTTATACGCTTCCGTTGTGTTTTGTTCCGTGCTTCCCCTACATAATATGCAATTGATCTTGGCAGGGAATGCTACCAATTCATGTCTGCAAGGCCATGGCAAAAAGTTGTTGAATTTTATTCAGAAATGGTGAAAGGGCAGTCAAAATTGGAAGATATGTTTCAAAGAGAGGTAAACATGTTGAACAAAAAGTCTTTTAGTTTAGAGAATATACCTTAACTGACCATATTTGTTGCAACAATAAGTTTTATACCAACCATTTTATTTGCGAGTATGATAATCTTGAAAACTATTGTAATTTTAGATTCCATATGTTTTATCAAACATTTGGCAAATTTTCCAAACAACAAAGTAAAAAGTGGAAATTTTTAGTGCAGTGATGAATATAAGATCTTAGAGAAGAGGATTTAACGAGATTTAAATTGCATTAAAATAATTTGTGAATACTTTATTGGCATGTTTTTAGGTAGGCATCAACTAATTTGACGGTTCTTACATTAGCTCTAAGGCAAAGATGGGCCACTGTTTTGTTTAAGAGCGTATTTGATAAGCTTTAGATTTTTTGTAAGGATCTATTAGTATCTTTTCAAATAAGCTTCATGAGTTTTTCGTTTAAAATTCTATTTAACCTCTCTTTTAATTTTTAAACATTATTTTAAACATCACTTTGTATAATTTTGTATTTTGAAGCTAGCTTATCCATACTTTTGTCAAACACTAATATTTATATCATTTCTTTCACCTATAAATATAAGCTATAAGCTATTAGGTCCTGATTAGCTTATCAACCAATCAGCTAGTTTCTCAACTTGTTTCGCCAAAAATAAAAAAAAATAAAAACTGAAACTTTTACCAATTTATTTTAAATGCATTAGTTTTTCCATTTTGCATTACATAATCTGTTACTGTGTATGTATAATTATGATTTTTCTATATTTACTATATTTATTTAGAAAGGTTCTGCCACAGATTCCTACCATTCAAGATGAAGCAGAAGCTAAAGAATATTCTGTGGAACCTGAGTTGGGTAGCTTTCCAGTTGAAGATAGGACTGGAAGATGGGCAAGAGTGACATTTAAGATTGTCCTATCATATCATGGGCCCTCCTTTGGTGGCTGGCAGAAGCAGCCTGGTTTGAATACTGTTCAGGAGTATGTTGCCACTCAATCTACCCTAGCAGAAAGCAAACATCACACAAATCATTGGGAGTTTTTAATGCCAGTTTCATGGCCCTTAAGATTTGGTTTCTAACTCATTTCAGGAAATCATTAGTTCATTACCTACTGTCTATTTGTGATGAATTTGCCAAGCATTCCTGTTGTGTGATTGTGATATAGTATATGGCATTTTGCTAATTTGTGGCATGAGGATTGGCTTCCATGTTATTGCCTGATGTTGTCAACTTGTCATATGACAGCACAGATTGAGGGCAAAAATGATTCAAAATTTAGATTTTCTGTACGAGTGGTTTTATGCTTTTGGAATTGAAGTTGTCATTTGGAATCATGCAGTGGAAGGGGAAGCCTTGGCGCACCAGTTTAGGTGTTGCTGTCTGACCTTGAGGTCACGGTTTGAGTCCTAGAAGCAACCTCTTGCAATAAAATGCAAAGTAAGGTTAGCACATTACACCCTTGTTGTGGGACCCTTCCCCAGACCCTCGCTAAGAGGAGATAGTTTGTGCGCCGGGCTGCCCTTTTTATGTGGAATCATGCAGTGATTTAGGTCATATTGCCCGAATTGAGTTGTAGTAGGTATACTGAAGGACTATTTTGTATGTCAAGCTATCTTTTTGGACATAATATTGGCATCTAAAAGAATGCTACGGTAAAGGATAAGGCATCTTTAGGTAATGATTGTAACACTTTTCTAGCTTTGCTTTTAGTGCAATTGTTTGACCTTAAATACATAAATATTATGTGTTTCTGTGTGACAATTTGTAATTAATTCTCATAAATTTATAGTTCATTACCTTTATTTCTCACACACTATGTTATATACCTAATTACCTATTCGGTTATCTGTCAAGGAATCTAAAGAAAAACATTATTTGATGATCATCAATAAGGTTCAATCTGCTGTAAGTTTTTGTTGTATTCACATTTGGGTTTTAATACTGTGTTTTATCCAGGATGGTTGAAAGATCTCTTGGGAAATTTGTCGATGACAAAAAAGCTCAACAACTAAAGGATAGGAACTTACCATTAGAAGGCTGTGCTTTAGTTGCTGGGCGCACTGATAAGGGGGTTTCAGCCTTCCAACAAGTCTGTTCTTTCTGTATGTTCCTCTATGTTTCATGTCTGTTCAATTGTTCAATATCACTCCCTCTATTTACTTTTTTTTTCTCGCCCAAAATCCATTTGCCTGCCTATGACCTTGTGTGAATAACATTAAGTCTGACCTTTGTTTTTGCTTCATTTTATCTTAACATTTAACATCTAGCATCAAGAGGATGTGTTTTTGACACCTTAGTTTGAAGTGTTGTGATAAGTTGGGTATTCCCTTTGTTGTCTCAAATTGTAAGATGCACATGTGTTTGACACAACCCTTTAAGGAATCAGTCAAATCACATTATACATTATTACGGAGTACTTTTTAAAGCTCACCTATTTGACATAGTGAAATGTTGAAAGTAGATTAATGATAATTGGGAAAATTTATAGAAGTCAGTGGTTTTTGAGTTAGAAAAATGAAAATTATTTTGGGACAATTGAAAAGGCAAAGTAGATCTAACTCATCTAAGAAAATGAGGTGGAGGGAGTATTGGTTGTATTTTCTATGAAATGAAATTTTGGTCTTAATCTCACTAAGTTAACTGCCAAACTATAGCAGTTACATTGTTAGTTTTTTTTATTGAAGTTGTATAACTTGTTTCATGAACTAATGATTTCCCTTAAAAGTCCAACATTTATGGAAAAACAACCAACCGCATTGCATGATTTGATAGAATTACTGGCTCTGCCCTAAAATTATTTGCTCGTTTCAGTAATGAGGTTTGACTGCAGTTATTTTTCAATTCAATATATTTAATTATTAATGCAAAGTTTTAAAATGAAATTTATATATTTAAAAACTACATCAAAAGTTTTACAAAACAAGAAGTGACATGACTGTTTTATTTGAAGTTTTGAACAAATAATTAACGATAATATCTAAGAAAAGAAGATTTGGCTTGACATTGTAAATAGTAATTGAGAAGATAAATTTGGGACCAAGGGAGTATACTGTTATTTTCTTAAACCTCAGTTATTTAAAATAGCTATAATTTTTGACCAAGTATATTTGAAGATAGTATTTACTTGTGGTATCTCTTCCATTTGAAATTAAGTCAGATTAGGCATTGAGAACATGACTGTAGATCTATGAACCTCTTTCCTGCAGTTACAACTTCTGTAGCGTCTACGATATTTATCGTATTGTGGACCGTACTATTCCCATCAAAGACATTGATTCCATGAGGTTGGAGGTAAATCGAACAACATAGCAGAAGAACGTTTTATACACCTCCTTCGTTTAGCGGTACATAATCATAATTAAATTTAAAAGAACTTCATTTAGTATTTCATATAATTTTGTTCCGAAAAAGTTAAACTTAATGTCTAATTTGTTATAGGTCTCAAGAGAATTCCATCCTAATTTTTCTGCCAAGTGGAGGCGATACATGTACATTTTTCCTTTAGAGCAAGTGCAGGGCTGGCAACATATAGAGGATGTTGCAGATAAATATTGCTCTGATTCTAATCAACTGAATCAATGTACTGAAAATCTCATTGAAGGAAACAATGCATATGCAGTTGGTAATTCCAAGGAGGACGTGGTTCCTGGCAACAAACCTATTAGGTTTGAAGTAAGCAAGGTTAACCACTTACTGCGCCAACTAGAAGGAAAGCTTTTGTCGTACAAAATGTTTGCACGAGATACGAAACCTTCAAGGAACATGTAAAATTTCAAAAAACTCAATAGAATATGTTAATGCAATCTTAATGCTGAATGATTGTCTAATATGATTTATATATGTCAGGAGTCACACACAAACACATACTCCCTCCGTCCCTGAAAACCTTTCTCTTTTCTTTTTTCATCCGTTCCAAAAAACTTTTCTCATTTGTATTAAAAAGTCACTTTTACTCCTACTAATTCTTAACCTACCTATGACATCACATCTATTCACTATTAATCTACCCATCAAATCCTACTTTTACACATCACATTCAAGGACATTTTTGGAAACTCAACACCAAAATACACTCCCCTTAAATCCCTTAAAAATCGAAATCTCCCATGTTTTCAGGGACGGAGGGAGTATATACTTGTCAAGCACACTGAAACACATGTATGTAGTTATTTTCTATAAATTAGTGTTGTCTATATCATAAAGTATCTAATTGCATTCTTATGCCTCAATGGTTGTCCACTATGATTGACTCACACTTAAACCCCCAACACCCCCACACATTTTGCGTGTGTGTGTGTGTGACACTTTATACATTTGATAGCTGAAATTCTTTATATATTAGGCTTAGATGACTTAGACTCTTTATATATTTTATGTATAGCTCTTTCAATGCAATCAGAATGAGACATATATCCAGGTTATACCTCTGAATTCCACAGTTTACTGTGGCATGTTTCGTTGTAAGATATACTACGAGTGCACTTTTTTTTTGGATTATCAAATATTTAAACCAGGCCAAGCGCAGCAACTTATCTTAATTTGTTCTGCAGTGGCCCACCTACAGAGTGCTTTGTCTACCATGCCCGAGCTATTGAGGTCTCATTACCAAGTGCAAAGGTCAGTCAGTTTTGTTTTACTTTACATTTAACGAATTGAAGTTGTATTACCATCTATGTCAGAGTTGTGTGTTGTTTGGCTGATGGACTCATCCTAGGCTTCTTATATTGATTGATGAAGAGTGACATACTAATTATATCTTACTTCTGGATTCATGAAGAATCAAGCATGCTGAAACATTATTTTGTATTAATTTGAAAATTGTCAAATATGTTATTATTTCTTTCTTTCAACTTTGAATATTTTATTTTTCAAAAGAGTCAGTTCAAATAATTTTGTTGTGCAGAATATATCAATGTTGAGGTTATAAATGTTGCATGTTTTGGTAAAAAAGTTCTTTTTGAGACTTCCTAAATAATTAATCCAAATTTCTTCTATAGCTTCTCCAGTTGCTATGTCTCTTTCAACTGGCTATCTGATTCTTTCTCTTGACACCATATATTCTGGAAAGTTGCCCAATGTAGTTTCTTCAGAATATATTGCTAGAATGACGACTATGCCAGCTTTATACTTTTGTTAGTCCAATGGCCACGGATTACTATCTCTAATATTTTGATTTAAAATGCAGGATGGGAAGCATACACAGACGATGTGCATTGAGTTGGTTGCCAATCGCTTTTTACGCAAGGTTAGACGACATCTTTCATCATTGTTGATTATGTTGCACAAAGTCTTACATATTTAATTTGTTGGGTTATTTGGTGAAGGCTTTAGAGCTTTGGGCTTTAAGCCCGGTCGGTTAAAGGGAAGAAATATGGGGGCCGGTTTTAGTTATTAATTAAAGGGCCCATTAGTTGTTTCTTGTTTAGCAAGTTGTTAACCCTAATTTATATCTTATAAATACCCAATCATGTAACTATAATCTATGAGCACCTAATAAAAGATAAACCCTAGTTGCAACCCGTGGAGTAGGTTACTGACCGAACCACGTTAAATCTCGTGTTCTTATTTTTTGCTATTTGTGTGTGTGTGTTTGTTCGCTTCCGCTTGACCGCCTCTGATCTCTGATCTCTGATTCCTAACAAGTGGTATCGGAGCCTTGGTTCGGTTAAACACACGGTTACACAGGATCAATCACAGGAAGAAGGCTGTTGAAGGGGATGGTTCGGATCTGATCAGGGGCTGGTTCGGATCTGATTAGAGGCTGGTTTGGATCTGGTCAGGGGCTGTTTAGTCGGTTTTGGGTGAACTTGGCGATTAGGGTTTCTGGTTTTGGACCTGGTACTCGTTGGTTCGGGTTCTTTGATTTAGGGTTTGTTTTCTTTTGGAGGTTGCTTGGTTTTGGGCCGTTATTCCTTGGTTTTTTCTTTGTTTTTTTCTCTCGTTCTGCAATGGCCGAGGACGGGAGGGTTCGAATCGAGAAGTTCAACGGTACTGATTTTGCATGGTGGAAAATGCAAATAGGGGCGTTGCTTGGTGAGTGCGATTTGGACATGGTACTGGAAGAGAAACCGGATGGAATGGATAAGGCTGCTGAAGCAATTTGGGACTCAAAGGACAAAAAGGCAAGAGGTAAAATTACACTAGCTTTGACGAGGAGTGTGGCGTTTAATATCATGAAGGAAACAACTGCTCGTGGTATGTTAACAGCTCTGTCAAATATGTATGAGAAACCGTCAGCCGGTAATAGAGTGTTCTTGATGAGGGAATTGTTCATGATGAGAATGAACGAGGGCAGCCCAGTTGCTGATCACATTAATGAGGTCAATTCGATCTTGTCGATGTTATCATCAATAGGCATGAAGTTCGATGATGACACTCAGGCTGTGATTCTGTTATCTTCCTTGCCTGATAGTTGGTCGGGATTTGTGACAACGGTTACTGAAACTGCTGGAATAGGAAACTTGAAGTTTGATCGGATACGGGATAGTGTTTTGGGTGAAGACATTCGTCGGAGGAACGCTAGTGGAGGATCTACTTCTGAGTTACTCAGTGTTAGCAGGGGAAGAGGTAATAACAGAAACAGTGGGAGTCGTGGGAAGAGTTCGTCTAAGGCTGGAAAGAATGTGGTGTGTTGGGTCTGCAAAGAAGTTGGGCATGTCAAGAGTCAATGCCCAAACAAGAAAAACGAAATTAGCGCATTTGTTGGGAATGCATCTGATGATGATAGTGATGCATTGATACTCAGCATGGAAAGCTATGTTGACTCTTGGGTCATGGATTCTGGTGCTTCGTTTCACGCCATGCACAGCGGTGAGGCGATGGTGAATCTCAAAAAGGGAGACTTTGGAAAGGTAAAGTTGGGTAACGGGAAAATCCTTAAAGTGAGAGGCATGGGAGATATTGATCTAAAAACATCATTTGGAACTACTTGGAGCTTACAAAATGTCAGGGTGATTCCAAGACTGAAGACAAAGTTGATCTCAGTCGGACAATTGGATGAACAGGGACTAGACGTCAAGTTTGGTGGTGGAAAATTGAAGGTGATCAAAGGAAATTTGGTTATTGCTCGAGGCTTGAAAAGAGGATCATTATACATGGTACCGGTGATGTCTGAGGGAGTGACCAACCCGGTAATGACAGTTAACAAAGTCGGGCTCACTGAATCGGGCAAAGCTAAGAAGGTTCATTTTGCAAACGTGAATCTTGGAGTTTTGGGGATGACAGTTGAGTGTGTTCAGAGGTCTGAATCATGTCAGGGTTTCGTGACAGTGGGAGCATGGGACGTGTTCCGAGTACAGTTCTGAAACGTCGTTGGGTTTTGAGGATCAAGAATCCGAACGTTAAAATCTCTCCTGGGAATAGTTTGCTGGATTTGGAGAGTGGTAATGGTCCTCGGTGTATCCCTGGATCCGGTGGATTGTGCAAGCCGGTTGAGACAGAGGCAGTGGCGGTTATAGTCACGACTTGGTTGGAGCTCGGTGGAGCTTCAACTGTCCTTTCAGGTTATTAATGAAGGCGGTGGTTGCAACTAGGGGATATAACCGGAGTCTTAGCTTGTTCTTGGGAACTGGAGGCTTGGAGGACTTGACAGTGAAGATTACTGAGTTACTCATGATGGGTTTACTTGGATGGAATTTGTGTCTATGCAAAATCCTTCAAGTGGGAGATTGTTGGGTTATTTGGTGAAGGCTTTAGAGCTTTGGGCTTTAAGCCCGGTCGGTTAAAGGGAAGAAATATGGGGGCCGGTTTTAGTTATTAATTAAAGGGCCCATTGGTTGTTTCTTGTTTAGCAAGTTGTTAACCCTAATTTATATCTTATAAATACCCAATCATGTAACTATAATCTGTGAGCACCTAATAAAAGATAAACCCTAGTTGCAACCCGTGGAGTAGGTTACTGACCGAACCACGTTAAATCTCGTGTTCTTATTTTCTGCTATTTGTGTGTGTGTGTTTGTTCGCTTCCGCTTGACCGCCTCTGATCTATGATTCCTAACATAATTACCTTTAGGGCGTGCTTGGTTTGGGTTATCTCGGATAACCTTATGCTTTAAGATTACTTTTTCATAAGGGAATGTAGGATTATGGGAATGTTTGATAACCTAATGTGTTTTCTCAAGTCTGTGAGAATGCATTATGAACTTATTTGGTTGAAGGTTATATTCCAGAATATGGTAATTAGTTTACTAAAACCCTCACATTGAAATATACACACTTAACCAAAATCCTGCCGGCCTCACTTTAGTGCAACTTCAATCTAGGAATTAACCAATCTAGAAGAGCCATCAGCGCATGGCCGCATGGCGTTTTGGATTTCTGGTGTTGACGTGTAGGGAGCGTGAATGACTAGAAAAATACAGCAAATATGAATTAGTCGATGCCATAAAAAGCCTTGTCGGACTGAAGAAGTTTGCATAAGTGACCATAAATTGCAAATTCAACAGCAGGCACCACGGGATTTTGGGATAGGGGTTGCGGAGAGGAAAGTAAAGTTTGGTGTTGGTAGATTATACAATAAGACCTGGAAGTGGGTAGATTAGGAAATTTGAAGACATTAGGCCGGAAAGTGGCTGTAAAATATGGAGGACGAATCCAGGTCCTTTCCAGTGGCTCTAATACCATGTGAAAGATTAAGATGGATTTTTTTCTTATGTCTTTCTTTGTACTAAATGAGCCATATTTATAGCAAATCACAAAAAGGATGAGCTAATAGATGACAAGCTAAGTTATGATCACGTGCTTTCTAGGGGCTTTTACATATGTTTAGCTGGTGATGAAGTTATGCTGTCTAGAGATCATTGCATGCTTCTACATGCTCCTTCATCATCTGTTAGTGCTTCTTACGTTGCATGTGTCCCTAATAAGTAATACCAATACTCTGACTATTAACTTTCGTGCTTGGTGTGTTTAATCCCAAATCTGTTGGGGTCTGGCGGGTTATCATGTATGCAGTCTTAATCTTGCAAAACAGAGAGGTTGCATCTGTTAGACCTTAGATGCATTATTGCATTTACTTCCCTAAACTTCATAAAAAAGTGAGAAGCAAAGGAAGTTTTATGTGCCACTTGAATAGTCCCAAGGTTGTTAAAATCACAAGTTGACGTAACATCGTCCGGTTATGCAAGCTGGGAAGGGCGGAACAATGTACATCGCTGTTAGGATCAGAAAATATGGAAATTGTCCAAGATCTCCAATTTATGGTCTGCTAAAACAATTGTCGGACTCTTTAAGCTCCATTAGCAGTGGACGAACATCATGTACAATCTAGAAATGAAAATATTATCTTCATCATTCACCATTCCCGGTAATGATGACTATTCTAGATTTACTTGGTTGGGATCTCTTGATGAAACAATGATCAGAGTTGTTTAAAACATTCCCGCATCTTTGTGCTCACAATTTGCGAAATCTATCTGTGTTTTTCAAAGTGACAGTTCATATGAATTCATCTCTAGCCCATATGTTTATTACATGGCCGCATGGTACATCTGTCTTGTGTAGTCTTGTCTTGGTGTCTCCACTCCTTGACAAAATATGGTAGCGGATCTTTAGAACCGGTCTCTTGTTGAAATAGGCCTACATTAGTGCTACACAGCACTCACATCTCTCACTTGGTAAACCAAATATCTTAATGCTTCTGCTTATGAATGTGGAAATATGCATATGCCAGCTTTTGTTTGGTCATTTCTTATAATGGAGTTTCGTTCATTTGGTAGATGGTTAGGGTCCTGGTGTCAACGGTGATAAGGGAAGCAGTTGCTGGCGCAGATGAGGATGCATTACTGAAGCTGATGGATGCCACTTGCAGGCGTGCCACTGCTCCACCGGCACCACCAGATGGCCTTTGCCTTGTAAACGTCGGTTATGAGGAGTTCGACCCCAAAAGATGTCTAATCCCCTGATGATGAGATCAGGGTAACACTGGCTACAGAGCACTTCTGCCCGTATTGCAACACTTCTCTTTTAACATTTCCAACTTTTTGATCATTTCTCTTTGTTCATCATTGAGACGTTTGTTAGTGTTACTAGGCACAGCACACTATAATGCACATTGTGCCGTAGTGGCTTGAATATTGCCCACGCCGGCTCCCCATCTAAGTTAGCGTTTGCTTTTGATTGATTTTGATGTGGTTAGATTAAGTTCTGATCTTATTTGATTGTAGTTTTATTTAAAGCTGATTTAATTTGATTCTAATAAGAATAAGTAATACGTAAAAATATAAGTTGAAAAGAACAAGCTTTTAGTCATGGTGTACCCTAGCCTCATTTGGACGCACAAAGGTTGTCAAATTGAGATTCAACTCTATGAATCCTAAGACCCATTTTCTGAATCACAAACCGTATTGTATTACTCCAAAGTAATACATCTGCCCCAAAGTAATATTATTATTGAATTATAATAATATATTACATCTGCCCCAAAGTAAAAAAAATGGTTTTGATGATTGATTGAATCTAATTTAAAATTGGTGTAGAAAAAAAAAATAAAAATAATATATTTGAAAGTTGAATCAAAAGCTTTAACAAATGAGAGATAACATGGTTATATTATTTAGGCAATTATCGATAAAAATAAGTAAATATTAAATATTACTTTAGCACCATGAATAGGAATTGTCTTTTATTTTGGGATGGAGAGCGGTTTATTTTGGTAAAAATAGTTGACATTAACAAATAAAATTAAGTTGAAACATCACACTTCCTTTATCCTAAATTTTTTTCTTAGTTACTAATCACATGGTCAAATTCTAATTATTTTCTTATTTTTGTTAGTCATTCGATGAAATAATGTAATCTTTAGAGCTTTTAAATGAGAAGCTAATCACATGGTCATTTTTCTTTAGAGCTTTAAGTGTAGTTTTTAGATTTATAATTTTTTAATAAAATTTTACACATAATCAAATCATCGAATTTGAAATAACCTCAATCAAATCTTGTAAACCGAAACGAGAAAAATGTTTTAGGACCGATGGAGTATATGATATGTGAAGGTCGATATGTTTTCCAATCTGATATTGTCGAATAAGGCATATTCCAACTCACCCGTTTATCTCCCAGATAAGTGCCTTTGTGAACCACCATCATCATGTACCCTATTGAAATATAGAGGACACGGGCCGGATTCGAGCAAAATCTTACAAAAAATTGCTGCTGGGTACCCCTAATTTTGGGATAAAGACTAGCAGGTCCCTTTGTTTTTCAAAATATACTCCGAGGTACCTTAAGATATTCGAAAACTGACTCCGGGGTGACAATCCGTCATTCTCTCCGTTAACATTTCTTCTCCGTTATCCTCCTCCTCCTCCTCCTCTTCTCAAAAAATTGCTGCCAGGTACCCCTTATTTTTGGATAAAGACTGGCAGGTCCCATTTTTTAAAAAAATTTACTCATGGGAATTTAAAATATGATGTTTGTGACTGAAGAGGGAACTTACGTATCATTTATAAAATTAAAATTATTTATTCACTTGGTTATAAATTATACGTCGTAATTCATAATAATATAAAATTTAACACTATTTTTATTGTTTCATATTATCTTTACAAGACATATTAAATTTAACACTATTTTTATTGTTTCATCTTATTCTTTTCTCAAGTCCTCTTGTTTTCTCGATTTACCATGACACCATTACCAATGACGACTATCAATGACTAATGCGGAGTACTATTTTTCTAAATAATAATGATTGTTACTCCGTATTTCTTAAAAATAGAGTAATAAAATTACTACTCTGCAATTAACTTTTAATAATAATTAAGGAAATAATAGGAAATACATAATATTATCAATTTTGACCAAAAAAACAAAAGTAGACAAATACTCTAGAACAGNAAGTAAAATTACTAATTAATTGCTTAAAATAAATAATAGTATTAATAATAAGTGTTATTTTATAATAAGTGCTATTTTTCTAAATAACAATTAGTGTTTTTATAGAAAAGAGTGGTAAAACTAACAATTAATTTTTAATAATAATAGTAATAATAATAAATCAAAAAATTAATAATAATAATAGAATAAGAAAATAATAATTATGAAGTAATTAATTATAATAATTATTAACAAATAATAATAATTATAATAGAAGAAGAAAAAAACAAAAGAAAAGGTAAAAGAAGAAAAAAAATGGGGGTGGGGGAGGAATGGAGGTCACTGGAACTCTGGAAGGCAAGAGAAAGAAGAAGAAAAGAAGAAAAGAAGAAGAAGAAGAAAAGAATGGGACCTGCCAGTCTTTATCCGAAAATAAGGGGTACCTGGCAGCAATTTTTTGAGAAGAGGAGGAGGAGGAGGATAACGGAGAAGAAATGTTAACGGAGAGAATGACGGATTGTCACCCCGGAGTCAGTTTTCGAATATCCTAAGTTACCTCGGAGTATATTTTGAAAAACAATGGGACCTGCTAGTCTTTATCCCAAAATTAGGGGTACCCAGCAGCAATTTTTTGAAAATCTTATCACTTGGAGTAGATCTGGCAATAACTTACCCAACTTATTTTGACCCGAGACCCGCTCCAAAAATACTACTCCCTCCGTCCCAATTTAAATCGTCTGTTTTGACTTTTGGGCATATTTAAGGAAAATAAAATTAGAGTTGATTTTCCAAAATTGACATTACTTTTTAGAAGGGGTGATGAAGAATGAGAAGATAAGGTGAAGAAGAGTGACTTATTTTAGGGGTAGTTTAGGTATTTTATTTTTAAAAGTTTACGAAAACAACTAACATGCAACTTATTTTGGGACGGAGAAAAAAGGCAAACATGCAATTTAAAATGGGACAGAGGTAGTAAGTTTTGAATAAAAGTTTTGTTGACCAAATCCGAAGATGACCTGCTAAAAATTGGTCAAATCCGACCAAATCACCTACGCTCTAGTGTCTGTGTTTTTCAAAATCATTTACTTTAATATAAAAATAATGTAATAAAAATAAGGCTATATATTTCTATTTTTTCTTATTCCTCATTTTTAGTGTAATAACTTGTATTTTGAAACAAATTTTTGATATTTTATGTTTTAGTACAAAAAGCCGGTGCTAGCATTAATTTATATATTTTATAAATAGATCTCATAATGCGTTGGATTACCCAAATTCGATGATACTGAGTTATAAAAATGCAATTCACAACCTGAACCCAAACTTACTTGAATCCGATGTAACTCGAACTCAAAGTGACCGAATCTGAACCGAACCTGACCGATTTGTCAGTTGTAAAAAATGAAAGCTAAACTTTGATTTTACACTATGTCGTTTAGAGGCTTACTTTTGTAGAGAAGCTCCAACAACATCTATTTTTGGCCCAGAGTCGGCCTCGAAAAATGAAAAATGAAATTGGCCATGGCTGAAATTTACATTTTGGGCCATATTTTATTATTTTAGAATACTTACGCTTCAAAATTAATGATGAATTTAAAAATATGGGACTTGAAATTTCAGGGGTCTTGTGCGATTAACTACCTTGCACACCCTCCGGGCCACCCACTATTTTTGATACTCTCTCCCTAGTTTCTCTTTCCGGTCATTGCCGTTGAGTATTTTTATTTAGTTTTACATCTTAATTACTACTAATGTTATACTCCATCCATCTCAACGCAATTAACAACTCATGTTATTGTTTACGAGGTTTGACTGAATGCGGTGTACAATTAAAAGATAAAATCTATATATTTGAAAATTTAATCAAAAGACAAATTAAAACTAGGTTTCTATTTTATCAAACGAATAGCAAAAATGTGTAGAGAAAGTGGTTGAAGATTCACCATGTAGATAGTAAACATGCAATTTAAACTAAAACAAAAGATAAGTACGGAGCATTACGTAATGGGCAATTTCTTACGTGCTCTAAGGCTCATGCTCATTACATAGACCTTTTTCTAAAAAAGATTCATTTGTCAATAAATGAAAACTGTGAGGACCTGTTCTTTTTATACTCCCTCCGTCCCTAAATATTTGCCACATGTGTATTCTCGAGGCAAAATATTAACTTTTTTCAATTCATTTTATTTACATATAGATATAGAAATAAAAAATAAAATTTACATATCAAAAAACTACATAAAAAGTTTTTTGAAATAAGAGGTGTCAAAAAGAAAATGTTGCTTATATTTTGGGACGGAGGGAGTATAACTTAGTTCATTGATAATACTTGCTTAAAAGAATTGGACCTTTTGGTGAAAAAAAATTCACTTGTCAGCCAATGAAAAGTGTAAAAATATTTTGTTTTTTATTGACCTCAGTGTATTGATAATATAAAAGAATTAGATTTTTTGCGAAAAAAAATTCACTTGTTAGTCCATAAAAAGTGGGAAAATCGATCTTGCAGTGCAACACAAGTGTGATTGGACTAGTATATTTTTGTAGTTTTCAGCAATACATTTAGATCTTATGTATCCAAAATCAACTCAATGTGCTTTGTAAAGATTCAAAGCGCAAACACAAACCCACTACTATACTAATCAAGAATTTAAAAACGAAAAACAAAAAGTTTCGTTCTTCACTATAATCTTTTATTTTCACTCTTATCCTAAAAAGAAAAAAAAAACTTCCAAAAATGTTCCAACAACAACACTTATTTCAAATGTTGTGCCTCCCAACTTTGTTACAGAAGGAAAAAAAAGGAAAATGCTAGGGTGCCACCACATGGGTGCACCCATGTGGTGGCACCCTAGCATGGTCCAAAAAAAAAGCATTCATTAAACATACATGCCAGCTGGTATCTACCCAAGAATAGAAATGTAGCCACCCACAAGTATCATGATGTGTTGCTGCCTACTTCTTTGGTTAACAATGAGTGAGACTCATCAGCAGCAGTACTGATGACAACACATTCTCCATCATCCCACTCGTTGACATTCTCAATCCTCTGGACAGCCTCCTTCACATCCCATCTCCTATCCACATCCACCTCACAACACCTCAACCCTATTCTCAGCAGCTTCAGCATTTGCCCTTCACTCTGCTCTGTCATCCCTCTCATCATGTCCTTGTCAAACACTTCCGCGGTTGACTCCTCGGGGGCCACTGACCGGACCCAGCCGGCTAAATCTGCTGTGTCCCCTTGTTGCAGGAACCCTGACGGCAGTTTCCCTGTTAGGGTTTCGACGATGAGCACCCCGAGGGCCCAC